CGGGGTCACCCCAGCAGGGCGCTCACCTTGTTGATCTCAGCCTGCACCTCGCGCAGCTTGCGTTTGTAGCGCTGCACGTCTCCCTTCAGCTGGTGGTTGTGGTTCTGGAGGCTGCTGATCAGGTGGCGCATCTCCCGGTTAATGGGGCCTGGGAGAGGAGCAGGGGGCAAGGTTACCCAGGCAGACGGCGGCACTTGCAGAGCATCTGCCATGGAGGGGGGTGGCCGGGGGCAGGGCAGAGGAAAACTCACTGCAGTCCCGAGATCCTGGCAGGCAATGCCAGCGGCAGGGCACTGCTGGGAGGAAGCTCACTGCACTGGGGGGGCGGAGGGGCGGCGCGAAGCTCACAGAGAAGGCGGCAGCCCCCAGGGTGAGGGCACGAGCCAGGCTGGGCACAGGGGTTTCACTAGGGCAGCTTGCCACATGGGAGGGGGCACTGCTGTGAGAAACAGCACCCCCTTGGGAGGGGCCCGCCCACCCCTCTGGGCTGTACCATGTGGGGGAGGGGTGCTCTATACACAGGGCCATACCACAGGGCCGGGCACGGAGGGAGCCAGGCTGGGCACAGGGGTTTCACTAGGGCAGCTTGCCACATGGGAGGGGGCACTGCTGTGAGAAACAGCACCCCCTTGGGAGAGGCCCGCCGCTGTACCATGTGGGGGAGGGGTGCTCTATACACAGGGCCATACCACAGGGCCGGGCACGGAGGGAGTGTCTCTTCCTCACCTGCTTGCTCATTGGCCGCCAGGTTCTGCTCGAACTCGATGCGCAGCATCTCGTACTCCTTGCGCACCTGGGCCAGCGTGTCCTCCAGCTGGATCACCTCCGTGCGCAGCTTCTTCTGCAGGTTCAGCTCGTCGCTCTGCAGCGGGGCAGGTGGCAGCTCAGAGCGGGAGCGGGGAGGGGGGAATCGCTCTCCCCCAGACCCATCTGGCTTCCCGCAGGTAGCATCGCCACCCCCGGCCTGGGTGGTACATCCCAATACACAGCACAGCACCACAAATGGTACGTTCCAGCATAACACAAAGCCTAACCACCCCATGCACAAAAGAGATGGCGCATCCTACCCGTTAGCCCCGCCCCCTCAAGAGGCCCCGCCCCCCAACTGAGACTCCTCCTTCCAGCCTCACCTCCATGTGCTCGATGTGGCGCAGGTGGCTGTTCTTGGTGGTGAGCAGCAGGGCACGCGCCTCGTCCAGCTGGGTCTTCACCTGCAGGCTCTCGTTGTAGAGCAGCGAGAACTGCGACTGCAGCACCTTGTAGTCCAGGGTCTCCTTCACCGCCTCCTCGGGCAGCGAGCGCAGCGCCATCTGGGGGCAGGGGGTGTCATTGCCGCAGGCCCCACCCCCCACTCCCGGCTAGGCCCCACATCTCCCCCCCATGTCTGGCACCAGGGGGGCACCACCTTCCACCCCTCCCAGCCCAGCCTGGCCCTGGGGACACCGCCCTCCCTCCGTTACCTTGAGCTTCTCGTTGGTCCTGACAGCCTGTTGCAGCTCCTGCTGCAGCTTCTCCAGTTCAGCCATGCGGCTGTTGGCCAGCTCCTGGTTCTCCTCCACCTCCTCATTCAGCATCTCGAACTGCCGAGACAGGGCTCGGATGAAAAAGGCTGGCCCCTC